AATTCTTGTGACAATGGCTAATCCCCTCCCCCCCCCCCTGCCAGCTGGGGACATCCACATTGCGGGTCACTGTGGATATTCTTATGGTTACCTCTAACCATAATTCTCCAAACGAATTTTTGCGTCAACTTCAGCCACCACTCTGCATGAACAACAGTATGAACAGGCACCCCACCCCATTACATCCCAGTATGACGAGGACGCCAGCTCAGGTGATGAAGAAAGAATCAAACAATGGTTTTGTTACCTACAAAAACCGGCACACCTTACACAAAGGGAAAGATGCCATGAAAGCCAACAATGCTGTCTAGGTGACCAATGCCACCACCTCAAACGTCGGACCACGACCTCCTCTAGCACGCCGGTATAAATATGCTAGGCATGCATTTTCACCTCACGTTAGCAGTGACAGAAAGTACTCTTGGATGAAACATAATCTCCCTCGTGCTTTTGTTAACCCCATAGACCTTATACGGCCTAGACACGCCTCACCCTTCATCTATATAGCCAGGTCCCATGTAGACGCCATCTCTACCCTCCTACAAGGTCAAGTGGGTGGCATCACATTCAGTAACGCCAACTCTCTTGCATACTCCCGGAGATACAAAGAGTATCTTGTCACTTTCAACCCACTATGACTGACATCTACCATGCGAAAGAGTTATCAGGTGTGTACAAGGCAAGAAACATCAAGTATTGGGGGAAGCCACTAAACCAGATTGTCATCGTTTGGGGAAATGAGGCACCGCCCCCTAGTCAGATAAAGTTCCTAGGCCCCAACCTACCAGCCAGTCCCATAACACCGTGGGTGTCCACAGCTGTCATGTGTTTTCGATGCCAACACTTTGGTCACAATGCCAAGCATTGTAGATCTCCAGTCACCTGTGCTTGCTATGCATACAATTATCCAACTAAAGCATGCCCAAATAAAGACCACGCTCTTTTGACGGATGAACTACATCCACAACCGCCAAGCAAATGTTTGTCAGGTGCTCACGAGAAGGTGTGACCGCCTGGCACAAGGACTGTGACAGGCGTCCTCCCCCGTACATCACAGTGAGGCAGCCCACCACCAAACCAGCCCACCCCGCCACAAAGGATGACGATCCCGCCATTTTTGCCACCAACAGGTGGGCATCCTTTCCAGGCCTAACTGGGAAGCCTGACGCCAACCAGCAGAGTGAAGCGTTGGAACTTCCAGCTCGCATGAGTAAATTGGAAATTACAATCGACATGATCCAAGAAACACTCACGAAAATTCAAAATGGTCTCAATTTCATTTTTGATAAGATTAACATGGACAGCGTTCAAGTGATCCTCTCGCCGGCCCGAGGTGTAAAATGAACGTCCAAGTATCTAGTGAAATGCTTTCCAGTGATGTAAGTGTTGACACGTTTCAAGCAAATATTGACCCCTTATCTAGTGCTGAAAGTACCGCTGTGACGAGTGTAACAAATGAAAGCTCATGTGTCTTAACTGTAATTAGCAAGTGCACTCCAACACTCATTCCAAACAATACCTCTTGTACTTCCATGCATTATGATGAATGTGCAGTGCTTATAAAAGCTAGGAAAGATGGAGGCAACCAACTGACCATTACACAGATGAGAGAACTCCATACCATTACTTTCCCTGAAAAATTGTCACTTATAAGTAATAGTTTGCAACTTGTAAACCTTGTAAATACTTATCTTCGTCAAGTTCTTGAATATTGCCCAAGATTAAATCACTCTTAAATTTCTCATGTGGAATGTAAGAAGTGTGTGCAGAAGGCTGTTTGATCTAATAATGTACGCAGGTGCCTACAACACTGATGTATTGTGCTTGCAGAAACCATAAACTGCAAGCACAAAAAACAAAATGCCACCCAAACTCTCAGGTTAAGTAGCATTCTCAAAGGTTGATTCACAAGATGTCGGTATTTTGATGTATGTTTAAAGTAACCTAGTATGTAAAGATGTTAATAACCACAAAAGTGACTACTCCTATTATCAGCAGTTTTAGATTGCTACTGCGACCAGCTTTATTAACTTATTTAATGTATATGTAAGGTACGATCAAATTATGGAAGCTTCTCTTCCAAAAATAACCAGCAGCTATCAAACCATTGTCATGGGTGATTTTAATGCTAGACACACTAGCTGGGGGTGACTCCAAAATAATAAATATGGTAAGTTTTTGTTAAATATCTTAGTGATAATAACATATCCATATACAACTTTTATCTCATCTAACGTCACACACCTCATGGGTGGCAGAATTGATTATGTCATTGGTCACGGTCTCATCAATAATGCTGTCAAAGATTTAATTGTTCACGAATTAGTTACTGATCATTTTGCCATCCTCAGTTCATATACCATATATAATGTCATACCCGCAAATATATAAGGAAAAAAGTATTCAAAATTTCTGAAAATTTGGACATGCACTTAAAATATCGCTTTGCTGATTGGTATAACTCCTACGGTTTTACTAACGTCTATGCATTATATAAAGCCCTGGTCACTGAAGTAACCTCTTTTATGGCAATATTGTAAAATCAAGAAGACCCAAAACAGTGAGGAAGGGACATAGGTGGTTCACTGACTCATGCCTTAAGTCCCTGCATGACAGAGTTCTCATCTTAGCTGAGCAGTATAGAGCACATAATACAGTTGATACCCTCATCATATTTCTAAAGGCCAGCCGAGAGTTTAGAGAGCTAAAGGAACAAGTGGCTAACCAGCCCTAGGAACAGTTTTTGCAAGGCATCAATCATGCAACATCCTCATCCCAAATGAGAAATATTATAAAAAAGATCTCTAATCCTAGCAGTCGTCACGCTACACCATTCATCGGCAGACTAGGCCGACATGCTGCTTCAACAACATGCAAGCACTGCGAGTAAAAGCAGCCTGCCCCTGTATGTAAAACTCCATCTGGCTAGTACCACAATGCATCGTAAGTTCAAAATTGAAATTGCCTGAAGTGAAAAATGATCAGATGATAACTATGGTATAACCCCCTCTGAGATAATAAATGCATGCAAAAAATGTAAGGCTACCTCTTCTAGAGAGGATGGCATAACATACAATACCATGAATGTTATGTTTTTAATCTGGATTGAAAAAAAATACTTTCAATCTGATAAGAGATTGATTTGCCTCCCATCTACCCATTTGTTCACTCTTGCTACAGCAAGGACTAAAGTTATTATTTGGGGGAGTATGAAATCGACACACGAGAAGGTGTCTAACAGGGTGACCCTCTTGCTCTTTTTCTTTTTTGCCTAGTCATTAAAAAAGTCACTGAAAACCTGTCCACTGAGTTCAACATTTGGTTCTTGGATAATGGTACTCTAGCTAGTTCCCCGAACTCCCTCCTAGCAGACATGAGAATAATTCAGGAGCAAGTAACAAATCTAGACCTCACCTTGAACTCTTCCAAGTGCGAAATTACCTCCACTAACCAGCACATTACAGATCGATCGAATAAAGGGTGTTTTGTCTGATATCCATGTAACCTAACCTGAGGACAGCAGACTCGTAGGAACTCCTCTTGGAGGGAAGGCCGAGTCGGTCAGCACACTGGACTTGTGATCCTGTGGTCCTGGGTTCGATCCCAGGCGCCGGTGAGAAACAATGGGCAAAGTTTCTTTCACCCTATGTCCCTGTTACCTAGCAGTAAAATAGGTACCTGGGTGTTAGTCAGCTGTCACGGGCTGCTTCCTGGGGGTGGAGGCCTGGTCGAGGACCGGGCCGCGGGGACACTAAAGCCCCGAAATCATCTCAAGATAACCTCAAGATAAGGCCATCGACGAGGTCCTTGGTATGAAGATCACTGACCTGAAGAGGATGGATGAGAAGATAGAAGACATTGCTGCTCATGATGCACTCGACCTCATCATCAGATGCTTCTTCGTCCCGAAGATGTCCCTCTCGGGCTGAAAAGATGTGGGTGGTGTTACGGTGCCCTCTCCTATTTCTCCCCTGGTCCAGCGTTAAGAGTCATATCTTCACACCTTGCAGGTTTCCTGAGACGCAGGGAATCATTTGATATAGGAGGCAGCTGGAAGGAATACGTATTTGTGGAGAAATTGTCATTACAATGTTTTACAGGTAAGGGGGTTTCGCCCCCAGTACATACAAAATGGCGACGCCCCTGTCAGGTTGCCGCCAAGAACATGAGGACGCCAGCAGGCTGGCTAATGGCTGGCTGTGGTCACGTGCCGAGAGTGACCAATGAGAGCCCGCCCCTTGAGGCTGAGACATCACAGGGAGGCCTGGCTCAGAGCTTGCGGAGGCGCTGAGACTCAAAGATTCATGACCCTCTGACGAGAGCAGAAGTGTGTCAGTGAGCTCTCGAGATTGGAGGTTTTAGTAGCCCAGCCCAGTGGATTGTGCAGCCTAACGCATTCTAACATGGTCATACAAGACTAGTGTACTCCCGCGGAGCACGAGGAAGCAGAGTTTAGTGGGCGAAACAGCGCCAAGACTCATTGCTGTTAGTATATGATGGAGGTGATCGGCGACGCTGGGAGGGCAGTGTGTAGCCCTGCGGGTCGCGCTCCAGCACGACGCGCGAGCTGCCGTGACCGGGTCACATCCATTGGAGATTCAGAAAGGAAACATCACATCTGGATCCATGAGTATTCGTCTCGGTGAAGGAGCGAGTGAGGAAAGCAACGTGCTCAGTGACCACTGGCTGGGCCAGCTTGGAAGAACTGAAATCTGGGAATAGGAACGGCGACGACGCATTACTTCACGACGCCTGAGGACCTGTGACACACGACCGGAAAGCCGAGGAACGACCCAGGAACCATGGACCTCTACAACCTTCGGAGGCCAAGCGTCGGTGGACGGGATTGTTTTAAGGTAGATTATCATTTCCCTCCCATCGTCCCCTGGTAACTAGGCTAGATAGGCTCAGTATATATATAAATTTCTATTAGTGTGTTTCATATTATTTTAGGAGTAGGATAGGCTGTAAGTCAGCTCACAATTACCTACTTTCTGAAGAAGACAGCATGGGACGAGAGTGGCAGAGTTGTGTGGACAAGATGCTCAGCTCCAGATGCGACGAGCAGAGATAGAGGCAAACAAGGAGGTCGAGCTGAGACGTGTTGAGCGCGGGCTGGTCTCGGTACCGGGACGACAGGATGACCTCAAGGCAAGGGAGTGCGACACACCAACTTGTGAACCTCTTGAAGCTGAGGCATTCTTCAAAATTTCGAGAGAATAGCGACGTTGAAGGAATGGCCGGAAGTGGATTGGGGCATGTTGGTTCAGAGCAGATTGACCGGTGAGGCAAGAGAAGTGTATAACATGCTGGATCTAGAGGAGTGTGATAGGTACGATACGATCAAGAATGCGGTATTCCACTTGTTTAGACTAATTTCAAAGGTGAACTAGAAACGTTTTCAAGAGTGTACGAGAGCGTCGGGAAGGTCGTATGCTGAGACTACACATGAGATGGAATGAAGGTTTCTAAGATGGTTGAAGGCAGGAGAAGTTTAAAAGGTGGATGATTTTAAACAGTTGATAGTGATGGAGATGTTCAAATCAGTGCTCCATCCAGAGCTCAAGGTCCGAGTGAGAGAAGCAGGAATTAAGGACCTGAAAGCCGCAGTGGACAGAGCAGACATGCTGGAGGAAGCACTACATCTACGTAGAGAAGAACCGTCCAAACACTCATCTTACCCAAGGTTTAGTAAGAACTTCAAGAGTTCAGGAGGAGTGAGGACGGGTGGGGACTCTCCCAAGAGTGGCTTACCCAGTGAATTCAGGGGGAAGTAGTTTCATATATGCCAAAAATTAAAACTGGCTCGTTTTAAATAAAAAAATTTTGACGAGTTGTATATGAAAAGGGTGTCATCTGGTCATAAATAGGTAGGATAAATAGGAAGGGAGAAAAACATATTGAATTATGTGTGAAAAATTTCCTAAATGGTCAAAAACGATTATCAAACACAAGTGTCAACTGAAATCATGTCTATGACTCTCAGCATATTTTAAAAATAGAATATATTAAAAATATATTATAATTAGTTTTATTACAAAAAAAATTCAGTCAATTTTTTTTTTCAGTTTGGTGTTTTTTTCAGTAGATTTGCATGAAACTTTAGTACCTGACTGCACGTATGCCTATCTGCAAGGGGGCCAATTTTGGAGAAAATTTGTTGAAGTCAACCTCAGCCACAGATGGCAGCACCTTAGACTTTATATTTTATTGATTAATTTTTCAAGTAACATAAACGACTTCAAACTCTTTCATTTTTATTCAATTTAATTGAAACTTACACCTTATATGTAATGTTTATGTCTCTAAAATCTGAAGTTGTTTTGTTTCCCTAAATTCATTTATTGATTTTATAATAGCAATAAACATGACGTATTTGCATAATTTTTTTTGGGGGGGGAACTTTGACTATTTGTATTAGGAAAACTAAAGATGTTTTGAAACATCCCAAACTACAGATCCTTTATTATATGCTACTGTGTCAGAAAAGTGTCATAGAATGATTATATCTGAAAAGGTGAAAGGTTTGAACTCAATTGAACATGTGTAATATTAGTTGAAAAAGAAATTAATCTCCCTTTCTATTTAGGCTGCCGTACTGAAACTTGGAACAACTGCAGCCCTTTTCATATACAACTAGTCAAAAAGTATTGGTTGACATTGAACTACTTTTAGAAAACTAATCTAATGCCCGCTGAAGTGAACCAGGAGTTCAAGAGCTCGATAGAAACGGATAGGAGACCCAAAGGAGTGAGTGTTGGACCTAATTCTGGAGCAGGAAGTGCTGCCAGGGAGTCGACGACGGGGAGTCCTACGAAGGCCCAAAGAACAAAGTCTGTTGGTTGTGTAGCCAGGGTGACTGGTGGTGGGTCATCCAGAGGAGGCGGCCGATGTTTTAATTATGGAGGTCGTGGACACTATGCACGAGAATGTGGCCGACCTAAGCACGCTGGTAATGTGTATTTCATCAGGGTAGGAAGCGGAGAAGCCTACGATACCCTAAGGAAGATTCTAGTGATGAGGGAGAATAGGATTCACTCCTTTGTTTGTGAGGGAACGGTGAGGATAGGAGGAGCTGATAAAGTGTTGCACGGGTGTTGCGGGACACTGGATCGAATTTCAACTTAGTGAATCCCTCTTCCCTGTGGACTACAGGAATTCCAGTACGGGAGTGGCCATGATAAGAAAGTTCGGGGACAAGTGAGGATGCCCCTCCACAAGGTGACACTTAATTCTGACTACGGTTACCAGACTCTTGTAGTAGGAGTTTGAGCTTCTCTTCCTAGAATGGAAGCCCAGGTAATTTTAGGAAACGACTCCTGTGGGGGATGTGTTCTCCCAAACCTAATCAAGGGCAAAGAGTGTGTGGAGCCCTACAGAAGGAGCAGCACGACGGACGCTAAGGGTGATGCAACAGAAATTGCGAAAATAGAATTTCAGGCATGCGCAGTGACGTCAGGACGGGGGGTCGAGGAGGATGATGTGAGCAGATCTGGTTACGCCGAAGAGGATATACTAGATGACCTGAGGCTCGATCATCTGTTCGGAGAGGAGACCAGAGGACAAGTGTTAGGTGAGGAAGATCCGGATAGGGGTATCCAGATTACTCTCACCAATCCTCTCGGAGTTGACCGCGCCCGTCTAGGTGAACTGCAGAAAGATTTTCCGGAGTTGGTGCGGGAGGTCGAAGGAGGTCTCGCCGGACATGAGTCACCAACTCACTTCTTAATGGAAAAAGGAGTGTTGATGAGACGGTGGAGACCGGTGCGAGGGGAGGTGAGTGATGGAATGTTAGGAGTGAGGTGTCAAGTGGTGGTGCTGGCACGATATTGAGGCACGGTAGTCAAGCTAGCGCACTCAGTGGATCCCGCAGGTCACTTAGGAGTGACCAAGACCTTCAGCCGGATTCGGGAACATTTTTATTGGCCGGGCATTAACGCCGATGTGAGGAGAGTCTGCAAGACATGTTTCCTGTGCCAAAGGGCGGGGAAAAACGTCCCTGCTATCCCGAAAGCCCCTTTAGTACCAGTTCCTGCGTTTTGGCAGGTGTTCGAGCGCCTAATTATCGACGTTGTGGGACCCTTACCCATATCAAAAAGGGGAAACAACTACTTGCTAACCATCATGTTCGCTTCTACACAGTTTCCGGAAACGATCCCAATGCGAAAGGTGACATCGAGATGCATCATGGAATACCTTCAACGATTCTTCTCTTGGGTAACCGTGCCCAAGGAGATTCACTCTGACTGTGGAAGTTTTTTCCAATCAAAGTGGTTTTGACAGACTATGGCAAGCTGAAGAATAACCCAACTACGATCTTCACCCTACATGCTTCAGTCACCAGGAGTGATTTAGAAGTTCCACTCCACCCTGAAAACCGCATTGCAAGTGTATTACGCAGAACAAGGAGCTGAATGGGATGAAGCTATATTTCCAGCCTTGTTTGCGATAAGAGATGCTGTGGTAGACTCTCTGGGATTCTCTCCGTTCCAACTTAAGTTTGGACACGAAGTGAGAAATCCTTTAGCAATTTTAAAGGAGCAGTTGACGTCGGGGAAGACATTGATATCAGTTGAGGAGTACGTTCGGAAGTTCACTGAACGGTTGAAAATGGCGAAGAAGAAGCTGGCTGCTGAACACCTGAGGACTGCACAAGAGGAGATGTCGGTTTGGTACGACAGGAATGCTATCTAGAGAGAGTTTGAAGTAGGAGCCAGAGTGATGATGCTGCTACCCGGGAGAGGTAGAGTGACGGAATCAGGCTTTGGTGATCCATACTCGGTCGTCAGGTGAGTAGGTCGGGTAAACTACGAAATCAGCAAGCCGAATCGCCCTCGGAAGACACAGGTATGACACGTAAATCGATTGAAGCCATACTTCCAGGAAGAACAGGAGAACGCGAATGGGAAGGAAACGACACAGTTAAGAGAAGAGAAATTGGTTCCATGTATGGAAATGAGCCGAGAGTTGGCGACAGAGGAAGGACCGTGGGTTCGTGCCGATGGCACGCGTCTTTCTAACACAGAGAGTTTGATGCACGTGGAGGAGAAGCTGTATCATCTGAACGAAGGGCAGAGAGACGACCTGGTGACTCTACTAAGGAAGAATGAGTCATTCGTCACAGATGTGCCCGACGTGACAGGAGTGTGGTGCACGAAATAGAAGTGAGGGGTGGAAAGCCGATTAGGCAGAACGCGTATCTGGTTAGCCCAGAAAAAAGGAAGCTCATGAAACCGGAGGTAGAATATTTGTTAGCAAATGATCGTGCTGAGCCTAGCAATAGTGAATGGAGTTCACCCTGTGTGTTAGTGAAGAAAGGTGACGGCTCGTTTCCCTTTCGTACAGATTATCGAGAAGTAAATTCCATCACCAAGTCAGATTCTCATCCTATGCCTCGAGTAAGTGACTGCGTCGACTAAGTGGGAAACGCAAGGTTTGTTTCCAAGGTCGACCTACTGAAAGGCTACTACCAAATACCTTTATCTCCTAGTGCAAGAGGGATCTCTGCATTCGTTACTCCGGACGACTTGTACCAGTGCAAAGTACTTCCGTTCGGCATGCAGAATAGTGGAAGATGCTTCCAAAGAAGGAGAAATGAAGTGCTACGAGGAGTTGAAGGTTGCACGGTATACATCGACGACATGGTAGTGTATGCCAACAGTTGGAAGGAGCACATAACTCGACTGAGAGAATAATTCAGAAGATTGGAAGAGGCAAAGCTTACAATTAATCTAGCCAAAAGCGAGTTCGGGAAGGGCTCGAATGGAATATTTATACTTTATCGTGGGCCAAGGAGAGGTAGCTCCCGTGGAACAAAAGGTAGTTGCTATCAAGGAGTATCCGAATCCCAGGACGAGGAAAGAGCTGTTACGCAACCTCGGGATGATAGGATACTACCGTGGATTTTGTAAAGAACTTCTCGGCAGTTGTACACCCTCTGACAGAATTACTATCTAAAAATGTTAGATGAAAGTGGGGTGAGGCATGCCAAGAGTCGTTCGAGAAGACCAAGAAATTACTAACGGAAGCACCAGGGTTGGTTGAGTTCCCCTGACTTCGAGACAGTTTATTATATATGTCGATGCTAGCGACTTGGGGATTGGAGTCATATTGGCTCTGAAAAGGAACAGAGTTCACAGACCAGTAGCTTTTTACTCGAAGAAGTTTAAGAGGTATCAGCGAGCTTACAGCACGATGGAAAAAGAAGCTTCAGCATTGATTAT